AAGATAAAATTAAAGAAAAACATCACAAATTTAAGAAATTTAAATTGACTGGCATGACGGGAGATTTAGAAGATTATAGATTGTTAAGAGAGTTGGTCGAAGAGGAAATTAGGGCACCAAAAAGGGTGTATGAAAAAAGGGTGGCTGAAAATGTAAAGATTGACAATAAGGATTTCTTTAAGTACATTAAAGGTAAACAAAATGTTAGGATGGGAGTAAGGCCTTTGAGGGATAATAAAGGAAGGCTCGTATCTGTTGGTTATGAGATGGCTGTGTTATTAATTCTACTTTTTTTCAGTTTTTACTAATGAAGATTTAAGCAATATTCCTCATCCTGAACAGTTGATAGATGGAAACAAGACTGAACAAGATTGTCACATTAATTCTGAGCTTGTTAAGACAAAATTAAAATGTTTATAGATTGATAAAGCTCCTGGGCCAGATAATATTTCCCAAAGAGTGTTGAATGAGGATAAGGTTTGGATATGTGAGCCACTTGCTACTATTTTTTGTAAGTCCTTGAATAGTGGGAAGGTGCCATAGGATTGGAAATTGGCTAAAGTTACTCCTCTTTTCGAGGAAGGTGATAAAATTGTTCCAGTAATTATAAGTCTATTAGTCTTTCATCAGTTGTGGGGAAAAGTTTTTGAAAGTCTGATAAAAGATGCTCTGCAAAGTCATTTAACAAAGTATAGAATTTTATTGTATAGTCAATATGGTTTCACTAAGTGAAAATCTTGCCTTACAAATCTTTAGACATTCTTTGCAAAAGTTACTGCTTATGTAGATAAGAGTAAGGGTGTAGATTTGGCGTATCTGGATTGTCAGAAAGCCTTTGACAAGGTACCACATAAAAGGATTGCAAAATCAATATAGGTGTGGGGTAGAAGTTGGTTGGTTAGACAGAAAAGTGGCTGGATGGAAGAAAGCAGAGGGTTGTTATAAATGGAGTTCTTAGTCAAACTGGATTAATGTCACAAGTGGGGTATCTCAGGGCTCGGTCTTAGAACCTTCGCTCTTTTTGATTTACATCAATGACATAGACGAAGAAATGGTCAATAACCTACTCAAGTTTGCTTATGATATTAAGGTCTTGGGTGTTACTGGCTGTGGGGAGGATGCTGCTGCTTTACAAAAGGAGTTGGAATGTTTAGGGAGTTGGGCGAATAAATGGCAAGTGGGTTTTAATTATAATAAATACAAGATAATGCATGTGGGTTATCATAATTTGAATTAAATGTATAATTTGGAAAGGAATAACCTTAACACTGTTACGGAAGAAAAGGATTTTGGTGTAGTGGCTGATCAGTCTCTCAAGCCATCCAAGCAGTGTGTTGTTGCTTGTAGTAGGGTAAATATGATTTTAGGTTGTATCTATAGAAATATTCAATACAAGTGTAAAGAGGTTATAATTTCATTGTATGAGTTATTGGTTAGTCCACATTTGGAGTATTGTGTTCAGTCTTTCGCTTCTTACCTTACGAAGGACATTGAATTGCTGGTAAGGGTTCAGAAGATGTGCCTGGAATGGAGGGTTTGTCAAACAAGGAGTGCTTAAGATCTCTGAAATTATTTTCTCTTGAAAAAAAAAGAAGAGTTAGAGTAGGTCTGATTGAGGTTTTTAAGAGAATTGATGTTGTGCATCATCTTTTTTTTCGTACTTAATGGTGAGAATGGTAGGGCTAGGTGGCACAAATATATGTTTTGGCAAAGTAGAAGACTTTTATTTTTCTAACAGGGTAGTTGGTCTTTGGAACGGGTTGCCTTCGGGGTGAAGGCAGTACATTTAAGTGAGTTTAAGGAAAGACTTGATAAATATATAAATAAGGGCTAGCTTTGAGAGTTTTTTTTTTTCAGTAGTTTTAGTTTAGTTTAGTGGATGGGACCAATAGGTCCCTTGATGTCCCTAAATATTAATTTTATTATGTTATGCTATTACTGGGATTCTTTTTGGATAAATTTAGTAGAAAGAAAAAAGTAAAACCCATTCCACTTAATGATAGCGAAAGCATTATATTGTTTGTGTGTTTGTAATTAAGCACAAAGCTACACAATGGGCTATCTGTGATCTGCCCACCATGGGTATCGAACCCGGATTCTAGCGTTGTAAGTCCGCAGACATACCGCTGTGCCACCGGGGGGCAGCATTATATTTTCTCGATTACAGGTTCTACAAGTTAATTTGTAATAGTTCTATATAACTAACGACAGGCCTGACTTCACTGAAAAAAATGCTAGAGTCACTTGTTTGATAACTTGTCTCCTATGTTAAGCATTTATCGTACCTAATACTTCGTGAAAAACAAAACCTCAAAACTTACAGCATTCAACCAACTGACTAGCTGACTCAATAATCAGTCAACAATTTCCAATGTAACATACTCACTAATCAATCAACAACTTTCTACTGTAGCTCTCTCTTTTTGTATTATTTAAATAGTTTCCTAAGCTTTCAAAAAAATTCCAGACGTTCAGCTACGCGCTCATCATGTGACGTCAAAACTTCTCCTAGCCAACATTAATATAAACTTCTATATTTAACTATTAATAAAACGTAGTCTACAACAACATTTTGCAAATTGATTATAGGGTAATGAAAAAACAGGAAGACAAGAAAAACGTTGATCGTACACGAGTTTAACTATAAAAAAAATGAGCTATACCTTTTTAGTCTTACTCTAATGTTTTTCTCTTAATCCTTATAGTATAGACGCAAATATGTAGCCAAAGGTACTTATTATACTGTCTGGATCATCCATGTTCACGTTTTTTTGCTATTTGTTTCTTATTATAACTCATTCTGAAAGGAGATTTTGCTTAGCACATTAGCCTATTTTATTTCTTAAGAATGAAAACAAGGTTTTCCAACTCTCCATTATCTATGTATAATTCAAACCAAAAATATAACATTTTCGCTTAAGCTACCTACTTTCATCTTTTTCTTCGCCTAAAATAGAAATACCTTATTGTTTTCTCATGGTTTGTTGTTACAATAAAAGGAATATTTTAGATATTTTCAATTATCTCTGCTTTCATATTGCAGATGGAAACGTTTTATTTTTTCTTTTACAAGTTCAAGATGTATTCCCATATTTATTGTGTTTCATACCAACAGCTAAAATAAAAAATAGCGTTATGACCGGAATTTATTTGAGAACACATGCAAGAATAGCAATATAAGCTAACTAATTACTCTCCCTGTGATAAGCAGCTCTAAATTACGAATGATTACGTATGAGTCTTGAAGAACTTGAGTACCATTCTAGTTGAAAATATCAAATGTGACAAATTTTAAAATATATACTACGTTGCTTTTTTAGCATAAATGTTTATTGATTATCATTTTTAATAAATTGTTAGAACTCTACCTGATATATGAGTATTTCTTTTAATAAATAATGTGAATACTGACAACAAATGTAAAACGTTGCACACAATGTCTTAGAAAAATTCTATAACTTGGCTTTATCTACAAAAGTAGGCACGAGAGAACAATTGTAATCAGAATTCAGGGGGTTAACTCGTGAGCTAGAATTAAATGTGAGTAGTTAGTGAGACTTTAATTTTAACGATAAAATATTTTTACACTTTCCAGTGGTTGTAATATCGGTGTACTAAGCTTTATGTTACTAAAATTGATGAAGACAGTTATAATTGGCAAAATGGCTACAGTTTTAGCGTTCAAATGGTTTTACACTTACCACTGGGTACTGTGTCGATGTACCGTTTACTTAGGCTATCCTGTCACGTTTGTGGGATTGCGTAGTTGGAAAGAATCACTTCGTGCTCATAAATAAGTAAACTCTCTTCAGCGACACATATACACACTCTTTTGCTCTCTCTCCACATGTATTATATAATATTTTTCAGTTGATTAGAATAATGCCCTGTAAGGGGCAGTTTATCTGGGGAGGTTAAGCCTATGCAATCCTCTTATACGCACCGCCATACTAAATTTATGTTATCAAAGCCTATGAAAATATTATGGTTGGCAACATGACTGGGATGAATTACCTGTTTTAACATATCTTCGAGTTCGAGTTACTTTAATGGAATACGAAAAGTAAGCTGTTACAACACAATTATTTATAGTTTGGTACGTCACCTACAAAAGTCATCAATCTGTCATTTATCTTGTGCGTTAGTCATCTGTAGATATTCAAACAATCCAGTTGGAAGCGAAAACATAATAGTTGGCTATACATGCCAAAGCAGGTCGCAGGAACTTAACAAAAACAAAAAAAACAATAAACAAGATAAATATTATAAAATTATCAAACCACTCTGCATAAGCCTAACTATAGATCATTTTTCTATACACAGTTGTATCCATCTGACCAGCTCCTCGCCTCTGTTGTTTACATGCGTGCGTGCTATACGAATATTAGACGTATTTTTTGTGTGAAATTTGCATATATTAAACTGTTATTTCTTCATGTTAGGACGTAAATATGCGACTGTTTTGCACAACTTAATAATAAAAAAAAGATTCATAAATTTTAAAAACAAAATTACTTCGACTGCTTTCTTTATTATTTAGATAAGATATGCCTATAAAGAACGGTCTGGACTGAATTATTTAGGTAAATAAATATAACAAAAACTGCGACTAATGCGTCACTAACTAAAAATAATGCACATTCGTTTTTGTTCTGTTGTTTTTTGTTTTTGAGTAATTGAAGTTACTGAGAATGGTCTATTCATAATCTGAACAGAAATAAAACAGGAGCTCTTGCTTCATGAAGCTGCCATCAAAAATGATGTTCCCACTGCGAAAAAGCTAATCAACGCCAAAGTTGATGTGAACAGTAGAAGTCACGTAAGTAGGATACCTTGGTATTCACATTACGGCTGCTTACAGAATTACTGCTTATATTTATCCAATATGGAATTGAAATAAGCATTTTCTTTTGTGGCCTGAATTATTCTACATACATATTTAGTAATGCAAGTATTCTAACTGCATGGTTTATTATTTCCAACAAAAAATGACGAAGTACATGCATGCATTTAGGAAGGACTGAAGTCAAGTTGTTTTGTAGAAGAGTTATGTAACAACTAATTTATTTATTCTTCTCTATAATTTTTATTTACAGATATCAAAACAACAATTTATTATCGTACCACTAATTTGTTTTTAGTATCAGAACTGTAATGTTGATTTCGTGATAGTACAACTAGCTGGTTATAGTCACCAAAATAATTAATTCATGGAGACCACTTTGAAGGTGTTATTCTTCTTCAGATTAGTGAAATGCTTAGGTAAAGAAGAGAGAGCAACTCATCTGTCGTTTGTGCAAGTTAAATATTTCAGCGAGATTCAACCCATCACTTTTTTAAGTTTCCAATATCACTTGTGATGTGGATTTGCTTTACCAGTTATCGTTCTATATGCGCTATTGATTATATTGTCACAATTATCCACTGTTGTAAATTGAGAGAAACCATTATTAATAGTTATGCATTTTTCTTTGTCATGTCTAAGAAATTATTTCATTGTTACCAGATATTACTGTAAAATGTCATGCCAATTTGGTTTAATGAATTAACTATTTTCGAAATAGTTCATTGCTCACAGTATTCTGTTAACTCATATCAACATATTATTTGTAATGCATCCACTGTTAATTACTTTTCGCTACACATGCACGAGAATAATCCAGTAGTACATTTTACATTCTCTTTTACAAAGACTAGTGCTTTCCATATCTTTACTGTTACGCATATAAGAAATTTTATTTTAAAGTGTTTGCTCAAAATAAATTTTATGGAAGAATTACTTGATGAGTTGTGATGTTACTTATGTCCATCCTTCGTTATTTAATGATATAAATAGCAGTACATCGTGTAATGTATTATATTAAATCACCTTGATATGAAGAGGTGCATAAGACTCTGATATTGTTGGTGTGTCTAATAGTCGTACTTTAGGAAATAACATTATACCAAGCTTGATTCTGGAGATACTTTATTTTCCAGTGGAATGCATAACCTGTAGTGATAATTCACTATGTAATTAAAGCTATATCAAATTTGTGCTAAAGATTTTTTATAACTGACTATGAAATCAGAGCTAAGCCGAATTTGTGCTTAAAGTTTCTGATAATCACCACGAAATCAGGACTAAACTGAATTTATGCTGAAGAATTTTGATAATTCATTATGAAAATACAACTAAACCAAATTTGTGTTTTTTTTTGTTTGTTTTTTGTCAGTAATAGCTCAGTTAACTGTATAGTAATTTAAAACAGAGAACAACACAATTTCTTTTCAGATGGACAGAGCTCCGGTTCACTGGGCAGCTTCTCGTGGTCACTTGGACATTCTGGCTATGCTTATTGTGGTCAAATGTGATATTGAATCTGCCGACAAGGTCAGTAGTTTAGTTTATGTTCAACTTGGCAATATTTAACATGCCTAAGCTTAAAACTGAGCCTATCTTGCTCAAACACATTATTTGTTTTCTTTTAGTATGGCATGAGACCACTTCTACTAGCTGCCTGGTTCGGCCACAAGGGGGCGGTGCAGATGTTAGTAGAAAACGGAGCTAACTGCAGAGCAACGAACAGGGTAAGACTACTTTCAATGGAAAGTAGACATTGTAATATATTATTGTAAAATATAAGAAAAACTTAAATTCAGTACCATGTTTCTTTAATTTCAAAAAATCAATGAAGTTCGATTAGCTGATTGCCCTTGGATTTTTTGTTATTGTTGTTTATTTTGAAAAATTAAAATAACGTTTTTCAATCTTACCCAAGTTGTCTTGTTCTAGTAACTAACCTCAAACACTAAGAGAGCTCAGACAGTTTAAATAATTCAGGAAAAAATATTTGACCATGTTTTATGTTATCTAGTATAAAAGTATATAAAGATTTATATCATAAATTGCAACAATTATTTTGTACTTTCACAATCTTCCTTCCCCCCTTTTTTTTGCTTTTGATGTCAACTCTAGAACACATTATTGCTAAGAAGTTATGTTCTTTATATTTTGTTCTTTGCTGTTACCATAGCAAACACCAAATTTTCTGCATTACACAGCTCATATAAATATTTAATATTCTATGCTCGTTTTGCAAGGAAGAATTATCAAGTGTTCACCAGGGCTTAGTTGCGTTTGTGTGTGAGTTCCCGTGAAATTCATAAAGGCGTTAATAAGTTATATCTGGGAAAACATCTTCAAGGTGTGTTAAAGGAGCAATGTAAAACGAATAAAAACAAAGGCGGTTTCATTCTGCACTCGGAAACGTGCGTACGTAATATTTATTATTTCTTTAGGTTACAAGTGTTCAGCATTTATACCTTACAGGATTTTACTGAAAAATATATTTTCTGTTGATATGGAATCAAACGTTCTTTCACAAACTACTGAGACTGAAAAGTATTTGCATCATTTGTTTCAACCATAATTCTAGCGAATGGATGATTGTCTTTTCATCTTTTTTTTTTTTTTTTTCTAAGTACTATTTAAAAGTAAAATAATCAAATAAATCAGAATTAAATGTAAAATGATATATGCAATAATAAAGACTGTCTGATATGAAGAGCTGGTATCAGTACACCAGAAAACAAAAAAACGATAATTTATAATTTTCTTTTTTTCATCAAAACGTGTAATTTCACCGAAAAGAAGAAAATAAATCGTTTTGATGAAGAAAAGAAAATTTCGCAAATAAATTACCATCTAGTTTACTGACTAACAATGAATAATTGTTGCCAGAGTATAGTTATGTTATTCAAAACCAAAGTATTTTAGGTTATTAGTTAGTAAAGGACTTGACATCAAAGGCCACAATCTATAATATTACGTTGCATTGAATAACTAGTTAAGTGCTCTATTTACAATTTTTCGGCTGTAATTCGAATAATATTTTCACATGGTTCTTATATATACAAAAACATTAAGCTAACTTGACGATACGTGTAACACAATAACAAACATAACCACTGATAAATGTGATGAACCAAGTATTGTGAGTTTCAATTTTATATTAAATAATTATTTAGAGCTGAGACTTAACTTTCAGTGTAGACTTATTAACAAGTAGGAGCTTTATCTACGTATTATTTTAGGATATTAGTAAATCTTTAAACTTTTTAGAAACGTTGTCTTTGGTAAAAACGTGCTTTTTCTGGTTTATTTTAAATTAATTCATAGGATGAGTAATTATAACTTTTTTTTCCTTCATGAAAGAAGTGATAAGTTAGTAATTTGAAAACACCAGCAATCTTCTCAGTTTTCAGATCGTATTAATCTCAGCAAAGCCCACATTTTCGTTTGCTAATGTATTTATAAGTCCCCTAGTGGCTCAACGGTAATTCTGTAAGCTTACAACGCTAAAACTCGGGTTTCGATACCCGTGGTGGGCAGAGCACAGATAGCCTATTGTGTAGCTTTGGGCATAACAACAAACAAACCAAATACATTTATGCCAATGTAAAATCTAGTTTCTTTGTTCTTTCATTAATACCACGCGCTATTTTTCTCTTCGACTTTGTAATGATGATTTTAAATAAACCTTAGGGTATGAAACCAACTGTTAAAGATAAATGAAAATTGTTTCTGTCCTTTTTATTTCACCATTTTTATGTTGTTGACAATACTATGGCTAAAATGTCTCCACGTTCTTAATGTCTGCTTTATTTTTAGCTGTATATGTATAGTGGTTAGCATGCTCGGACTGTGTATCAGGGGATTCATGGTTCGTGTCCCGTTGCCTAAAATAAATAAATAAAAAAAGAAACGCGCTCTCCACACAATGGAGTCGTGGGTGCGCTATAAGTGTGACGATAAATTCCGACTATTTGAACAGACAAGAACAGGTCGATAATTTTTAGCAGTGGGTGCTTTAACTAGCTGCTTTCCCTCTGGTCTGTCAATTCGAAATTAATGACGGCTATGCGCATATAACCCTTAAGCAGCTTTGCGCAAAATAATAATAATAATAATTCTAAAAAAAAGCAAATGAGTTGTTATAGTTTTCTTTTAGTTAGGAGCTATTTTTTGCCAACAACATATTTCAAACACTTGCAATTCATGATTTATATTTTCGTAAACTTTCATAATTCATTTATCTGGGTACAAGTTGATTTTAAATTGATGGCACGGTTGGCTGGGTTTAACTGGCCCAGTGGATAGCGTGGCCGAAATGTGAATCCAAAGGCTCATGGTTTACAGCCCTTTGCCGTAAACTCGCGCCCCTCACTTTGGAACATGGGTGCGTTACAGGAGTGATGGTCAGTTCTACTATTGGAGTCGAGTAGCTCAAAAGTTGGTGATAGCTATTTATCTTCCAGACTACCAGTTTAAAATTATGGAGGCGAGAACAGATAACGCTTGTTTAGTTTTATAATGAATATAATGAAACAAACTTTAATTGCAAAAACTCTGGAACTAGAATATTCAGTGCGTTCAGAGATCGCACATTTTACTACAGTTTAATGTACAGTTATATAATTCACAGTAAAGATTACACGACTGTTGGGAATTTAAATGCTGGAAATTATATGTTGTAAGTTTCACCTGTGTTTCTATTATAATAAAATTAATATAAAAATCTGCAAAAGTTAAGTATGATGGCTTTGTGTATTCATCCCCACCCAGTTTTTGTACTTTTTGGCATTTCCATCCCTACATCTTACTTAATTTTTGCAAAAATTGTTTATTACTTGTTTCCCCTCACTTTAAAAAAAATTCATTGAAATAGGTTGATAAGTGAACATTTCATATATTTATTTATAATTCAATGGTAATATATATTGTTAATATTAATATCAATTTTGTCAGTTACTTTAATTTTGGATTATATTAGAGGCCAGTAAAGCTGGAATGGTTCCCCCAGGACAGTACAAGTACCCCCGAAGTGCTGAATTGACGTTAAGGGGATAGTTATATAACCCACGCCTTCCAACTTCACCCCCAACTCACTGCATGTGCATACAATCGAATCCATCACATGCTAGGGTCGTGTCGATTAATAGGGAGGGCATCATACAGATCCCAGGCCATGAAGTATGATACCATGCATACATACACAGCTGCCAGGCTCGGCTTCACCGAACATTTGAAGAAAAGTAGACCGCTATATAATGTATTGTTTTGGTAATTAAAATTAAGAAACTGGTGTTGATAAACTGAGATATCAATAACATGTACACAGATATGTGAGTTGCATACTACTTGATCTCATTTATAAAATGAATACTAATTTAGGCTATTCTTTATTTATTTATTTTTACTGAAACTGTTTTAACAGATATCATGTTTGTGCAAGGAAGTCACCAAGGTCGTTATATAAGAACACTTCGTGCTGCCATCTAGCGACTAGAAATTAAACTGTTATTTATGAAACATGGATATAATATATGCTATAAACTGAACTCACTGCTAAGTAGTAGTTTTCCTTTTTATTATTTTCCCACAAAAATACGTGTGGTAGAAGAACAGAATAATATTACTGGTATATAAGCTGTGATACATTCTATAATAGCAATAGGTGCTCAAATAAGGCTATAACTCAACTTTAGCAGTTATTTGTAAGCATCATGGAGTAATAGATTGAATGTGACGGTCATTATTTTCTTAACCCATCCCTACATACTAAGCACTACCGTGCTCAGTGGTAGCCTGTTCCTTAGTATTCTTTAAATGATTTTCTGTCGTACTAAAACCATTTCAAAAACTTGCTAATTTTTTTACTATTGTGGGGAAATAAAAACAAAGATGAACACTTTTCAATAATATTGGGAGTCTCAGAAGCTGTGAAACACTCGATAATGGCAATTAGGTGCTCAAATAAGGCTATAACTCAACTTTAGTAGTTATTTGTAAGCATCATAGAGTAATAGCTTGAATGCAGCAGCCTTGTTTTCTCCGCCCCTTCCTACATGATAAGCACTACCGTGCTTAGTGATTACTACGCTGTAAATTATTCAGATAAAGAAATAAAGGTCTATCGTTAAATGCCTCAAGAATTTAAGCATTTCCTATTTTATATAATTATTTATTTTCGTCAGCAGTGCATTAGAATTGTGAGAAGAAAAAAAAACAAGTGCAAGTAAGGGAATGCATCTTGGAGTAAGAAATCCTAAACCAAAAAAAAAAAAAAAACAAACTTTAAGTCAGGCACCGTGTTATTGACATTTTCCTCTTGAGAACCTTGAATTCTTGAAAAACTACGTGACAGCTCTCTTTTATTGGTTACATTCTTTTAAGTCTCTAAGGGCCACGTCACATCGGACACCATCCTCAAAGTGTAGAAACGTTATTTGGAGAACACAGTTATATTTATGTCGGATGAGTTGCTCGCAAATCCAAGATGTTTAATTATTTTATTCTATCCTGGTTTTGAAAAGTATTAAGACGTTACAAATCCTTAAGACTTTTGATACATGAAGATAAGTATTTAAATTATTGACAAAAATATTATTTAGCCTAATATAAGTGAGATACAGGGTAAAGGAGAAAAATTACGATTACTTTAACTTAAAATAGTCATGTGACAAATAAAAAATAAAACTTAATGAAAATAACTGATGGAATGATGTAGAACCGTGTTTGATTCACGAAATATTAAATTATTGACACCGTTGGCAAAAGGTTGTAACATTATCATGAACGAAGTGGAATTAATCTCAAAATATTTACATGATTGAAATGTTATTGAGGGATTACGAAAGAAAAAAAGAAACACTAATTATTCGGAACTTTAAAAACCCTAAGTCGATTCAAGCTTTGAAATTATTTCTTGAATGTTTGTTTAACGTTAAGAAAGTTAAGCCTTGCAGTGATGTTTTAAAGTTCTCTCTCAAAATGGACTTTTATGGCCATTTTCAAGAAAATCCATATCAATATGTAGATAATTTTATCAAGCTCACAACTGGGACGTCATAAAAAATGAAATAGAAAAATTATTTTTGGAAATGATTTTAAAGCATAAAAACACAAGTTAGGCGACAGTAGGTTGTTTGTTAATAGGTTATTGAGCCAGCCAGTTAGTTCAACACTGTATATTCAGAATTTGTGTTTTCTGTAAAATACAGAAGATACAGAAAATGTCATATATGCGACAAAATTGGTAAGTAGAAGTTATATTAAGACATTATTTATTTGTGGGCCCGGCATGGCCAGGTGGTGGGTCGCGGGTTCGAATCCCCGTCCCACCAAACATGC